ACTTATTGTTATTGTTGGAATGCATTAAGCATTCCAAGTATTGTTCTTCTATTCTTTATATCAACTTATTGTTATTGTTGGAATGCATTAAGCATTCCAAGTATTGTTCTTCTATTCTTTATTTCAACTTATTGTTGGATGCATTAAGCATTTCAAGTATTGTTCTATTCTTTATTTCAACTTATTGTTGGAATGCATTAAGCATTTCAAGTATTGCTCTTCTATTCTTTATTTCAACTTATTGTTATTGTTGGAATGCATTAAGCATTTCAAGTATTGTTCTATTCTTCAACTTATTGTTGGAATGCATTAAGCATTTCAAGTATTGTTCTTTTATTCTTTATTTCAACTTATTGTTATTGTTGGAATGCATTAAGCATTCCAAGTATTGTTCTTCCATTCTTTATTTCAACTTATTGTTATTGTTGGAATGCATTAAGCATTTCAAGTATTGTTCTTCTATTCTTATTTCAACTAATTGTTGGAATGCATTAAGCATTCCAAGTATTGTTCTTCTATTCTTTATTTCAACTTATTGTTATTGTTGGAATGCATTAAGCATTTCAAGTATTGTTCTATTCTTTATTTCAACTTATTGTTGGAATGCATTAAGCATTTCAAGTATTGTTCTTCTATTCTTTATTTCAACTTATTGTTATTGTTGGAATGCATTAAGCATTCCAAGTATTGTTCTTCTATTCTTTATTTCAACTTATTGTTATTGTTGGAATGCATTAAGCATTTCAAGTATTGTTCTATTCTTTATTTCAACTTATTGTTGGAATGCATTAAGCATTTCAAGTATTGTTCTTTTATTCTTTATTTCAACTTATTGTTATTGTTGGAATGCATTAAGCATTCCAAGTATTGTTCTTCCAATCTTTATTCAACTTATTCTATTTCTTCTGTGGCACCTTTCATCTCCTTCACACTTTCAGCTATTAAAACTGTTCCAATATTAAAATATGGGAAAAGTACTACTAGTATTTCTAATGGTATTAATACTACAATTACTACTAATGTTACTACAAATACTATGACTAATATTAGTATTCCACCTGATACTTAACCTATTACTACTTCTACTGCTAGTACTATTACTACTTCTACTGCTAGTACTATTAATACCACAATTACAACTATAACTAATACTTCTACTAATATTACTATATAATACCTCTCTGGGAACCGTCACCTTATCGTGGTGGAAAGGTTTGTGTGTCCCTATGAACCTGAGGGCTGTGTTGTCGGGAGCCTTGTGCTCCTGGTAGGGTTACCCTTGGCAAAGTGGTCTCAGGCGAGGGGCCAGACTAAGAATGGTTCAAGACCCCATGAAAAAAGCCCGAAGGAGTGACGCGGCAGCCCAACACTCTACTCCCCATGGGCTCACCACCTGTGGAGGAAACCGATGGGGTCGGGTGCGCTGCTACAAGGGTGGCAGTGACAGTGGGGGGTCTAGACGGAACAGACCTGGGCGGCAGATGCTGGCTCTGGGGACATGGAACCTAACCTCTCTGGGGGGGAAGGAGCCGGAGCTTGTGCGGGAGGTGGAGCGTTATCAGTTGGATCTGGTGGGCCTTACCTCTACGCACAGCCTCGGCTCTGGAACCACACTCCTGGATAGGGGGTGGACTCTATTCTACTCCGGAGTGGCCCATGGTGTGAGGCGCCAGGCGGGTGTGGGGATACTCATAAGTCCCCGGCTGAGTGCTGCTACATTGGAGTTTACCCCAGTGGACAAAAGGGTCGCCTCCCTACGCCTTCGGGTGGTGGGGGGGGAAAACTCTGACTGTTGTCTGTGCATATGCACCAAACAGCAGCTCAGAGTATTCGGCCTTTTTGGAGACCCTGAATGGAGTCCTGCATGGGGCTCCAGTAGGGGACTCCATAGTCCTACTGGGAGACTTCAATGCGCACGTGGGCGACGATGGAGATAACTGGAGAGGCGTGATTGGGAGGAATGGCCTCCTTGATCTGAACCCGAGCGGGTGTTTGTTACTGGACTTCTGTGCTAGTCACGGATTGTCCATAACAAACGCCATGTTCGAACATAAGGATGTTCTTAAGTGTACGTGGTACCAGAGCACCCTAGGCCAAAGATCAATGATCGATTTTGTAATCGTATCGTCTGATCTGAGGCCGCATGTTCTGGACACTCGGGTAAAGAGAGGGGCAGAGCTGTCAACTGATCACCATCTGGTTGTGAGCTGGGTCAGAGGATGGGGGAAGACTCGGGACAGACCCGGTAAACCCAAGCGTGTAGTGAGGGTGAACTGGGAACGTCTGGAGGAGGCCCCGGTCCAAAAGATTTTCAACTCACACCTCCGGCAGAGCTTCTCTCACATTCCTGTGGAGGTAGGGGACATTGAACCAGAGTGGTCTATGTTCAAAACCTCCATTGCTGAAGCCGCGGCAGTGAGTTGTGGCCTCAAGGTCTTAGGTGCAACAAGGGGCGGTAACCCTCGAACCCCGTTGTGGACACCGGTGCTCAGGGAAGCCGCCCGACTGAAGAAGGAGGACTTCTGGGTTACGATATCTGGTGGGACTCCAGAGGCAGTTGCAGTGTACCGACAGGCTCGAAGGGCAGCAGCCTCTGCCGTGATGGAGGCAAAGCAGCGAGTATGGGAGGAGTTCGGGGTAACCATGGAGAAGGACTTTCGGTTGGCACCAAAGTGCTATTGGAAGACCATCCGGCACCTCAGGAGGGGGAAACGGGGAACCATCCAAGCTGTGTACAGTAAGGATGGGACCCTGTTGACCGCGACTGAGGAGGTTATCGGGCGGTGGAAGGAACACTTTGAGGAACTCCTGAACCCAACTACTACGCCCTCTTTGGTGGGGGCGGAGCTGGAGGCGGAGGAGGGATCATCGTCAATTGGCCTGGTGGAAGTCACTGAGGTAGTCAAACAACTCCGCAGTGGCAAAGCCCCGGGGATTGATGAGATCCGTCCAGAGATGCTAAAAGCAATGGGTGTTGGGGGGTTGTCTTGGATGACACGCCTCTTCAACATTGCGTGGAAGTCTGGGACAGTGCCAAAGAGTGGCAGATCGGGGTGGTGGTACCCCTCTTCAAAAAGGGGGACCAGAGAGTGTGTGCCAATTTCAGGGGTATCACACTATTCAGCCTCCCGGGTAAAGTCTACTCTAAGGTGCTGGAAAGGAGGGTTCGGCCGATAGTCAAACCAAGGATTGAAGAGGAACAATGCGGTTTTCGTCCTGGTCGTGGAACAACGGACCAGCTCTTCACTCTTTCCAGGATCATAGAGGGGGCTTGGGAGTATGCTCAACCAGTCTACATGTGTTTTGTGGACTTGGAGAAGGCGTATGACTGGGTCCCCCGAGAGATACTGTGGGAGGTGCTGCGGGAGTACGGGGTGAGGGGGTCCTTGCTTGGGGCCATCCAATCCTTGTACGCCCAAAGCGAGAGCTGTGTTCGGGTGCTCGGCAGTAAGTCGAAGGCGTTTCCGGTGGGGGTTGGCCTTCGCCAGGGCTGCGCCTTGTCACCAATCTTGTTTGTGGTCTTCATGGACAGGATATCGAGGCGTAGTCGGGGGGAGGAGGGTCTACAGTTCGGGGGGCTGCGGATCTCATCGCTGCTTTTTGCAGATGATGTGGTCCTGATGGCATCTTCCGTCTGTGACCTCCAACTCTCACTGGAGCGTTTTGCAGTCGAGTGTAAAGCGGTCGGGATGAGGATTAGCACCTCTAAATCTGAGGCCATGGTTCTCAGCAGGAAACCGATGGATTGCCTACTCCAGGTAGGGAATGTGTCCTTACCCCAAGTGAAGGAGTTCAAGTACCTCGGGGTCTTGTTCACGAGTGAGGGGAAGATGGAGTGTGAGTTTGGCCGGAGAATCGGAGCAGCGGGGGCGGTATTGCACTCGCTTTACCGCACCGTTGTGACGAAAAGAGAGCTGAGCCGGAAGGCAAAGCTCTCGATCTACCGGTCAATCTTCGTTCCTACCCTCACCTGTGGTCATGAAGGATGGGTCATGACCGAAAGAACTAGGTCACGGGTACAAGCGGCCGAAATGGGTTTCCTCAGGAGAGTGGCTGGCGTCTCCCTTAGCGATAGGGTGTGAAGCTCAGCCATTCGCGAGGAGCTCGGAGTAGAGCCGCTGCTCCTTTGCGTCGAAAGGAGCCAGTTGAGGTGGTTTGGGCATCTGCTGAGGATGCCCCCTGGGCGCCTCCCTAGGGAGGTGTTTCAGGCACGGCCAGCTGGGAAGAGGCCCCGGGGAAGACCCAGGACTAGGTGGAGAGATTATATCTCTGCACTGGCCTGGGAATGCCTTGGGATCCCCCAGTCAGAGCTGGTAGATGTGGCCCGGGAAAGGGAAGTTTGGGGTCCCCTGCTGGAGCTGTTGCCCCCGCGACCCGACCCCGGATAAGCGGTTGAAGATGGATGGATGGATGGATGGATATTACTACAAACAATTGAAAACCTCTTTATTCATCTCAGCTTTTGTCATTTCTGTATTTTTTTTATTCATTCAAGCTCCTGCAACTTCTGTATTTTTTAGAAAATCTATTGAAATTAAGCTTCTCATTTCTGTATTTTCAGCAGTTCTCTCAAATAATTTTAGCTTTTCTTATGCCTGTATTAACAGCAATGTTTTAATATTGATTTCTGTATTTTTTTGCAATATTTCACATTCATTTCAGCTGTTTTCATTTCTGCTTTTTCAGCAAATCTATTAAATCCTTTCAGCTTCTCCCATTTCTGTATTTTCAGCAATTTCAAATTAATTTCAGCTTTTCTAATATCTGTAATTTCAGCAATTTTCAGCAAATATTTGCTTTTAGTATCCATTTTTATAAAACCAGATTAGGTGTTAATTATAAGTGTTAACGTTCCCCTTTGTAGACTCTGTCAGCATGTAGTTAAATGATTCTATTGAAGCTGAACTCTGATCCAATGGCGTTACGTTAGGCACCTTATCTGCTGCTGTTCTGATTGTTTCCCATCGTTGATGATCTGAAGGTGCTTTTGTCTTGAACAGGTTCAGTGGTTAAAAGAGACTGCACTTCTCAGTCAGGCATACGGTGCGTCCCCTGTGTGGACGGGACGTATATGGACCGACCCAATGGGCTGAATAAGTGCTTCCCCTGCAGCTCCTGTGACCAAGGTACGTCCACAATCAGCTGAGTCACCTTTCACTCTCAGGACACCCTCCTGTTATTATACTGGACAAAATTAAACCGAATAAAAGACATTAAGATTAAGATTAAGGTCACAAAAGCGAAGCGAATTATTTGCGTGAGTAGAGTCCATGTAAAGTCAATGCACTGACGCGTCTGGACGCGAAATGGGGCGAATTTCAAACGGCGCAAATGACGCAAAAGACGCGGCGCGAAAAAGCGAAACGAGCGACACGAATAAATCGCTCTTTCGCCCAAAGTTGAAATATTCCAACGAAAGCCAATCAGCGTTGAGATGCTCCGCTCGTCATCACTGAACACACGTTATTAAACAGCCGCTCAAGTTAGTTAGTGTGTGACCGAGAGACGCACCGAGCCGACACAACAGGTCATCAGACCGGCTGCTGGTCCGCCTGAAGCAGCGTGTAGTTAAATGATTCTATTGAAGCTCTGATCCAATGGGGTTACGTTAGGCACCTTATCTGCTGTTCTGATTGTTTCCCATCCTTGATGATCTGAAGGTGCTTTTGTCTTGAACAGGTTCAGTGGTTAAAAGAGACTGCACCCCTCAGTCAGGCACGCGGTGCGTCCCCTGTGTGGACGGGACGTATATGGACCGACCGACTGGCAGGAGAAAAGGTTTCAACTGCAGCTCCTGTGAACAAGGTACGTCCACAATCAGCTGAGTCACCTTTCACTCTCAGGACACCCTCCTGTTATTATACTGGACAAAATTAAACCGAATAAAAGACACAAAGCAACTATTTGCAACCCTGGTAATGGATGCAACTTGATTCCCAATGAATCTGATGCTGTGCTGTGAGGTTGATGCCACGTTGGCTGTAAAGAGGACCGTAGTCATTGTGTTGTAGCAGGTAAGTGTTTTATATGGAGCCTTGAATGCAGCACATTGTATATCTGTACAGTTTATTATCAGTGATACAGCTTATTGACATTATGAACTAACAATACAGTAAATGTATCAATGTCCACCAACGTTGTCTTTAAGTGGAAAAATGAGTGATGTAATTGCAAAGTGACTTGCTTTATCTTCTTAGTACATTTACTTACCTGTCTGTCACGTTTCACAATGTCAATTCCCTGCGTTTACATTCAGTTTTTATTTTGTGACAGACTTCATATAATACAGCTCTTTCTCTTTAAGCTGTAAGGTAGTTTTCCATCGACCTCTCTGCTCTTCTGTCCGTCTCATATCATTCAGTTCATTTGTTGCAATCCGCTGTCCAGCATCTTTGTTTAACTATAATATAATGAGTCTGTGTTGGTTTTCAGGCCGTGGTCTCTTTGCCAAACAGAACTGCACATCAACAAGTGACACCGTCTGTGACGTCATCGCTGGTCACTTCTGCACGGACCTGATAGAAGATAAAGAATGCCGTTCGGCACGCAGACATTCAGACTGTAAACCTGGTCACAGGGTCAAAGAGCCTGGTGAGAAAAACTCCAGTCACACAGTGACTACGTCCACGGCTCGTGGTGGTGCAGCTGGTTATTGATCTCTTTGGCCACAGCTCAGGCACGTCTGTGACTCATGTCCATGTCCAGCACACCTTCTAGGTCTCCTCCAGTCTGGTCTCTGAGGCCTGAACTCTTTCACTAGATTCAGCATGCAGACACCACGACGTATACGAGGATAAGCAACGGTTCTTCTAAGTACAGCTGCAGTAAACATGATCTCTATACTCCAACTGGCCTCCTCAGGTCACTTACAGCAGGATTTATTGAGCCTCTCGGGTAGCGTGAACGTCATCAGGTCTCGGGTACGAGTGTGCATGAGCACTCCCTTGATGAACACATGGATCTGATTCATGATGCTGGTCGTTGGGTTCCTGTGTCGTTCATCTCAGCTTTGTCTGTTTCTCCAAGGGACCAGAAGAACTGACACAACGTGTGAACCTTGTCCCGCAGGCAGTTTTTCACTGGAGGGTGTGAATTGTTCACTTTGGACCACGTAAGACCTTGTTTGTTAAAGAATGTCTGTAAAAAGTGTGCTGTAATAAACGTACAAGCATAGTGATCCCACTATGCTTATACGTTTATTACCTTGACCAGTAGTCAAGTTTCCCCTGAGATGGACCAACCCCCCATCGGGAGATTCAAGACGTCACCAACCCCCCAGGCCCGTTTCATTTGGTCACTTTCAATACATCTACAAGCGTTCCTGGTAATGGTCCGTTTTTAACACCAAAAGCACTAAAGCTCTTCTTCATTTCTCTTTTTTGACAGTTGCTCAGAAAACCAAGTGGAGGTCAAAGGAGGAAACCCGACCAGTAACACTGTTTGTGGAGCTGCTCCAAGAGGCCTTTACGGGTTAATAGCTGTACCTGTAGCTGTAGATGTACTTGTAATGGTACCAATAGGAACACTGGTTGTCCGCTGGATCAAAAGTTAGTACTTGTCTTTGCAACCCTCATCTGATTGGCTGACATGACTCTGTTCCATCATTGCCTTCACAGCCTTATTGTTTAAGCTGATACCTTTCTTGCTTTTGTATTCAGGGAGAAATCAAAAGAACCAACAGGTACGTTGGCTCCATATGCAAATGTTTGTCTCAAATAGGCTGCACCACATTAAATCTGCTCCATTACAGAGAACCTCCCCCCTGTAATCTGGGAAACAGGGAACCGTATTTTGCATTAGTGCGCTAATTGAACTCGTACGTTAACCCTCAACCTGAGCTGCTGTTCAACCCGTATGCCGCCCAGCCCGAGTGCACACCACGACATCTGACCCACTTCTGTCTCACTAACACAAGTAATAACAGCACACACATTCACTACACACAGGTATGTTCAACCACCCGTGATCCCATAACTTCAGCATCTCTCTGGTGTCTGGAGGAGTTCAGTTCAGTGGCTGCAGGACGAGCTGTTCTTCCATGTGGTTTGAAATGAGTGCTGTGGGACAACGGTCCAACGTGTTGACATCTCAGCAGGGGCCCAGGAGCAGCGTAGCATCTGGGGAAGAGACGTCGGTGTGTCTGCAGGAGGAGTCCAGTCAGGAAGGACCTGAAGGAATGTTGAGGTGGAGCGGGGACCCTTGAGTTGTAGACAGAAGGGCGGACAGAACTCCAGATATGGCCGCCCTGGAGGCCCAAGACGTTATCAGGACGATGACTGGATGCTGAATCAACAGACCTCCCCCACAACGCCCCGGCTATACCCACAGTTTGTACGCATGCTGGAATTGTGGTGACATTCATCACATGAGGTGACTGTCTGGAGCTTTACAATCCATCACCACGCAGTCCACCAGCGAGCTACAGCAGCGCGGGGACAAGGACCGCCGCCTCATCATCACAACTAGGGATAGCCAGAGGGGAAGTACAGGCTCAGCGTACTCACACTTATGCTCC